ACACACACTGTAAGTCTGTATTCTGTTAAAACCAATAAGCTCTTTTGGATCTGATTGAGAAATTCCACAGCTCTCTGTTACACATAAAGACAGAACCCCTCCTCTATTTAAGCACCGTTGAGCTTCTACACACACATACAGACAAACAAACCAATTAACAAAGATTAACATTGCACAAGAGACCCATACATACACACATTTCTCGGTCACACAGACCACTGAGGACATCTGAACAAAAAGCTTGTAGTCAGCCATCTGGACACATGCACATGAACACTTCAATAATCTCATCATATGGATCACATGACGATAGAGCTGGTATATGAGGCTTGGTAATGTTATTTCAAGCTGCATTCTAGGTACTTCAATGGCTGCAACAGTCTGTCGTCGTTTTCACTAGTTTCTTTTTATTTATAGATGGAACAAATGATATTGCCATTTTCAAGTAGACCTGACTACACATTTTATGTGTGAAAGAGCATTTCAATTTAAAACAAAATTCACATTAAAAGGTCCAGTGTGTAACATTTAGGAGGATCTATTGGCAGAATTGAATGTAATATGCATAACTATGTTTTCATTAGTGTATAATCCCCTAAAAATAAGAAGGGTTAGGATAAGACACACAGTGGTGCTTTGACAGAAGTAGATGCAGTACAGTGAGTGACATCTGTCATCAAGGTTGAAGAAGAAAAACAAGTCCGACTAGGCTAGAGGGGAACAGTAGAAAGAGGTGAAAGAGTTCAAAAGATTTAAGTCAGTCTGAATACCTACACTATGAAAGAACAGTAGAAAAAGTACAGCAGCCTCTTGGAAAACTGGATCAATGGAAAACCATGTGCTAGACAGAGTGTCAGTCTCTACAGTGAGTTTGAGTGACATTTTGTATCGTGACCTTTTTCTACTCGGATCTGGCAATTTTCTTGTTCTCTTTGCCTGGGAAACAATTCATTCTATGTCTCCTGCACTCATCCACTATTTTTATGTAAGTCTTCTCGCCACAATAATAAAATAAATAATAAAGTGAACTAATGTTGTTCCCTGGGCTTTTCACTATATATGAATTGAAGCCACATAGTTGGACAAACTGTACACTACAAACAAAAACACGGGTTTAGCCTGCTCTTCATCGCTGTGGCTCAGAGAAAATTGCTGCCCATTTGCTGACTCCTATTCGATCCACTTTCACCATCACACTGACATGACCATCTTGTTTATCTGTTCTGGCTAAAGCTACAAGTCAGAAAGGTCAATACTTGAGATCGATCCCTGCATGCTAACATTAGCCACAGTGCCAGGCCAACCCATATCATGATATGCTGTAATTGGACAACAGGCACATTGCAGTTCAGAAAGAGTACCTTTCTACAAACAAGTACAGATCAGCGCACTGTGACGTTTTGTGTTGGCACATTCCTAAGCCTAATGAATGTGTGCTCCAGTAAAAATGAACAAAATCAACCCTCTGTCCCATGTGGACATACATGTGAAAGCTATGTAGGTCAGTGTCCTGTAATGTATCAATAGCCAACCGTATGCCTTCTGATCAAGAGAAGTGAACCAATCAGAACAAAGTACAATGAGGAAATGGGTTTGAGTGTTTGAAGACCTCACGCCCTCCAACATCTGCTGCCTATGAAACAGGGAGTAATGTAATAACACACACACACACAC